TTCCCAGAATTCACTGTTACAAGTGTGATATTAGTTTTTGTGGGCCTTTTTCTCAGCTTTCATCTACTTGGTGTTTGATAGGTGTGAGTTACTTCTGTTAGGTAAAAAAATATAGAGGCGATGTGCTCCCGTCTTGTTAGCGGTACTTAGAATTTACTAATGTGTGTTTCCTTCCTCAGGGGCTCTGGTCATATCAAAGTAACATTTAGAAAAAGATTTCTTTTTTAATTTTTGGCTGTGCTGAGCCTTCGTTCTGTGCTCGGGCTTTCTCTAGTTGCGGAGAGCAGGGGCTGCTCTCAGCTGCAGTGCTGGGCTTCTCTTGCTGTGGAGCGTGGGCTCTAGGGTGTGGGGGCTTCGGGAGTTGTGGCACATGGGCTTAGTTGCCCCGAGGCATGTGGAATCTTAGTTCCCGTATCAGGTATCGAACCCATGTCTCCTGCATTGACAGGAGGATTCTTAACCACTGGACTACAAAGGAAGCCCTAAAGTAATACTTATTGCACCTTGAACAATGATGAAGTAGTAGCAAGCTACCAATGAGCAACTATTTATTATTTACTATGTAAAACATACAAATGTAAGTAGGCGTTGTGAAGATGCAAGAGATTGTTAAGATAAAGCTTCTGTCCTTTAGGAACTGTTCATGTATTTGGGAAGACATAGTCATTAAAAGAACTCCACTAAATCCTCAAGCAGGAAATAAAGGTCAAATGAACAGGATAAATAATTATCCTTTTAAAAAATTATTTATCTAGTATATTTTTGGCTGTGCTGGGTCTTTGTTGTGGGCCTATAGGCTTTCTCTAGTTGCAGCAAGCAAAGGCTACTCTCTAGCTCTGGTGCCCTGGCTTCTCACTGCTGTGATTCTCTTGTTGTGGAGCATGGGCTCTAGGGCCCTTGGGCTTCAGAAATTGCTCTTGGAGAACTCAGGAGTTGAGACATGCAGGCTCTCGAGCACAGGCTTAGTAATTGTAGCACACAGGCTTAGTTGCCCCATGACATGTGGGATCTTAGTTCCTGGACTGGGGGATTAAACCCGTGTCCCCTGCATTGGCAGATGAATTCTTAATCACTGGACCACCAAGGAAGATCCAGATAAATAATTATCCTTGTTTCTACTTCTTTCCTCACTCTCACATCCAATCTGTCACCAAGAATCTTGTTTTGCTTCCTGTATATGTCTGGAATCCATCCCATTTTCTCCATCTCCATCATCACCTTTCAGGTGCATCTAAGACCTCATTCTCTCTCTTGCACTTTTTTTTTCTTAATTTTTTTTCGTTTATTTTTATTAGTTGGAGGCTAATTACTTTACAATATTGTAGTGGTTTTGGCCATACATTGACATGAATCAGCCATGGATTTACATGTGTTCCCCATCCTGATCCCCCCTCCCACCTCCCTCCCCATCCCATCTCTCTGGGTCTTCCAGTGCACCAGCCCTGAGCACTTGTCTCATGCATCCAACCTGGGCTGGCGATCTGTTTCACACTTGATAATATACATGTTTCAATGCTATTCTCTCAGATCATCCCGCTTTCGCCTTCTCCCACAGAGTCCAAAAGTGTGTTCTATACATCTGTGTCTCTTTTTCTGTCTTGCATATAGGGTTATCGTTACCATCTTTCTAAATTCCATATATATGTGTTAGTATACTGTATTGGTCTTTATCTTTTTGGCTTACTTCACTCTGTATAATGGGCTCCAGTTTTATCCATCTCATTAGAACTGATTCAAATGAATTCTTTTTAATGGCTGAGTAATATTCCATTGTGTATATGTACCATAGCTTCCTCATCCATTCATCTGCTGATGGGCATCTAGGTTGCTTCCATGTCCTGGCAATTATAAACAGTGCTGCGATGAACATTGAAGTGTCTCTTTCACTTCTGGTTTCCTCGGTGTGTATGCCCAGAAGTGGGATTGCTGGGTCCTAGACCCTGCCCCACCTCTCCTTTTATTCCTGTTCTCCCATCTGTTCTCTACCCAACAGTCAAAATGGTCTTTTAGAAGTCCAAGTTAGATTATCTCATTCCCTTGCTCAAAACCCTCGCATGGCACTCAGCTGCCCTTTCATAAGCTCCGAGCCCTTTCCTAAGGCTTGCAAGGCCCTTCCCTAAGGCCCTCTGTGATCGTCTCTGCTCTTCTCTGCACCGTCATCTCATGCCCCTTCTCCTTGCTGACTGTGTCCCAGCCAACAGGCTGCATTTCTCTTTCTGGAACACATCAAGAACTCTCTCACCTCAGGGTCTTTGCATTGGCTATTTCACTTGATTGAAATGTTCTTCCTCTGGTCCTGAACATGACAGGCTCATTCTCATCCTTCAGGTCCTAACTCAGGTGCTACCTCCTTAGAGAGCTCAAATCATTCCTGACCACGCTATGTAAAAAGTTTTTCCCATCCTATCACATTATCTTTCCTCCTACTTAACTTTTACCACAATCTGCAATTACCTTGTTGGTTTTTTTTTTTTTTTGTCTAATTATTCCCTCCCTGAGTTCTCTGAGGGGAGTGATCTTATCCATTTTGTTCACTGCTGTAGTGTATAGCACACTGTCTCACATATACTAGGTGCTCAATAAATAAATGACTAAGTGAGTGAATGAACACAGGCCATGAAAGCTCAGAGGAAGAAGGGATCCCTCTATTAGTCATGGAGCAGTTTCTTCATTGGGAAGGATTTTGCTAGATTAGTGAAAGAGAGAGACACTCCATTGTGTGATTTTTTTCAAAAGCTCCCTAGGTGATTCAGACTGTATAGCTGTTGTTTAGAACCATGTGTTTAATCCTCTCTAAATATCTCTTGCCAAGGAACTGTCCAACTTGAATAGCTCTGAGATGGGAAGTCACAGAGTTGGGTCCAAATTGCCTGTTCCTGGGCATCTACATGAGTCCTAGAGACCAAGCTATTGATTTCTTATCTATTAATATGAGTTAAAAAAGAATCTCGTAGTCTCAACTGAAGCCACCATGCCTTGCATTATTCTTGGTCATGTCCAAGATGAAAGTCAATTTAATTTTTTTCTATACCTTTATACCTTTAGTATATATATGCTGTGCTCAGTTGCTAAGTCCTGTCCATGAGATTTTCCAGTCAAGAACACTGGAGTGGGTTGCCATGGCCTCCTCTGGGGATCTTGCTGACCCAGGGATCGAACCCATGTCTCCTGCATCTGCTGCATGGGCAAGCAGATTCTTTATCACTGTGCCCCCTTGAAAGTCCTTAGTATCTATGCCTTTCCCCTAATCCAGAGGTTTGGTTATCAGATTCCCTCCCAAATCTCTCCAATGTGCAGTTTAGAATTCCAGCTTCAAGGTCGATGAAAGAAAGTGAAAGTTAGTCGCCTAATCATGTGCGACTCTTTGCAGTCCCATGAACTGCAGCCTGCTAGTCTTCTCTGTCTATGGAATTCTCCGGGCAAGAGCAGTGGAGTGGGTTGCCAATTCCTTCTCCAGGGTGTCTTCCCGACCCAGGGATTGAACCTGGGTCTCTTGCATTGCAGGCAGATTCTTTACCATTTGAGCCACCAGGGAAGCCCATGCTGCTGCTGCTGCTAAGTCGCTTCGGTCGTGTTCGACTCTGTGCGTCTCCACAGACGCCAGCCCACCAGGCTCCAGTCCCTGGGGTTCTCCAGGCAAGAATACTAGAGTGGGTCGTGACTGCCTTCTCTGAGGGAAGCCCATAGACCTACATAAATCTATACCCTCAATTTATTCACTGATGATCCCTCTAATTTCCTGCTGTAACTGAACCCTGTCTTGAACTGACTGTTTTAGATGTCAACAGTGGCTGGGCAGTCTTAGGAAACAGTAACCATCTGTTCAGTTGGTTGCTCATGTACGCACAAATATACTCACATCTTGGACTGTTTGGGGCCAGTATACAGGCTGAAAGATCTGATGTTGGGAAGATATGCTGAGGGCCAAGAGGTCTTGTGTCGGGCCAACATGTACGAGAAGGGAACAAATCTCTGTGGTCAAACATGGGAATTGAGAGGTGGTCAGGGTTGGAGGCTTTATTTAATGACCACCTCATTCTGGTCGCATAACTGCTCAGAATTTGTATCTGCACTGACCAGAGACTGACTCTTTACTGTTCAGTCTATCGAGCTCTACGTCACACCTAAATGATTATGGAGACTTATCTGTACACCCTGCTTGTTTCATCCTCGTGTTTCTTGTAAAGGCCCATCTTTCTGTTTTCTTTCGGTATTTATTCTGATTCACTTTTGTTATTGGGTTGAAGTTATTTTTGAATTTTTTCCAAGAAAAGGTACACATATAGATTTTTTAAGAATTGTAAAATACTTGAAAGTGACTCTTTTATTCTTCTATGAGGTGGAGTTTGGCTGGGTCTAAAATGGCACTGTTATAATCCTTGTCCTTCAGATTGCTCTATGTAAGTTTTCCAATGTCTTCTAGTAGTCAGAGTTTCAGAGGAGAAATTTCATATTCATTTTATAAATCCAGGATTTTCTCCCTCTATGTTGCTGACTTTTTCCCTTTGAAAGGTGCATCTATATTGAATGTTAATTAACATTCCCCATTAATTTCCTTTAAAAAGTTCAGAGATTTTGTATGTATTTTGTTTACTCTTCAGTTGGCAAAAAAAAAACTACAGTTATATTATTATGTACTCTAGAGTTAATGACCTGAAGATACACAGTAAAAGACAGCAGAAAAATCTTAGTATTTAAAAGAACTCTGAGATGGATTCTTTCATTGGCCAAGGAGTTCTCTATAGTGTAAATAATCTCATAATTAGAATGTTTTTTATATATACATGTTTGTAAATTTCATTAAGCTCAGAGAACTCTATTTTCTTTACTTCTGAACAGTCTTATTTTAAGTATCTGCAGTTGAATTATTTGGTGGGGTTAATGTCTCTCCTTATCCCAGATGGATGGACTCTATCGTTGCTGAATGTTTATTTCTAAAAGGTGAATTATGGGATGGAAGTCATGGGTGGTAACAAACGCTGTCCTACTTCTGATTGCAGAGATCGACTGCGGCCGCCCTCCAGAAGTGCAGCACGCGGTCCTAGAGGGGAACCACAGCTCCAGACTGGGCAGTGTGGCTCACTATGTCTGTCTGGAGGGCTTTGAGAGCCCCGGAGGAAAGATCACTTCCGTTTGCACAGAGAAGGGCACCTGGAGAGCGAGTGCTTCGTCCTGCTCAGGTATAACCCCGTTCTGTAGGGCTCCTGTCTCCTAGAGGTAAATCGCCAGCAGGAGTGTGGAACCTGGAGCCTTTGATTGCTTGCTCTGTGTACTGTACCTAGCCATGCCATTTGCTCCAGCAGGCACTTGGATTCAGGTTTGTCAGCCAAACCCTGAAGATTTAAAGGGTGGATTGGGAAAATAATTTGGATAGAAAACATTAAGCATCTGTCTTTTGCAACTCACCTTAAATCACAGTGACTCCTATCTCTTCTGCTTGGTTGGCTGAGAGACTTTTCCCTATGAACCATTTTCACAGGGGGGCTTACTTGAAAGTCCTAATTAAGCACATGTTGACAGCTTTTCAGAGAAAAGGTGGTGTCATGTATAGCGAGGTTTTTAATGTTTATTTTTAATTGTGGTAAAATATGCACAACATGAAATCTACCATTTTAACGCTTTTTTGGTGTTAACTATTTTCACATTGTGCAACCAGTCTTCAGAACTTTTTCATCTTGAAAAACCATTAAAGAGTAACTCCCTATTTTCCCACTCCCCACAGCTTCTGGTACCATCATTCTACTTTCTGTTTGTATGAGTTTGGCTAATTGACCTCACATAAGCGAAACCATTAGTATTTATCCTTCCATGGTACTCCAGGTTTATCCATGTTGTTGCCAATGGTGGTGTTTCCTTTTTTTTTTCTGGCTGAATGGTAATATTCTGCTGTGTTTATATACGCATTATGCTTATCCTTTCATCTGTTGATGGACAGTTGTGCTACTTCTACCTTTTAATTATTGTGACTAATGCCTCTCTGAGCACGGGCTTACAAATATCTCTTTGAGACCTTGATTTGAATTCTTTTGGTTGTGCCTGCTGTGCTAAGTCGCTTCAGTTGTGTCTGACTCTTTACGACCTGCTGTGTCCATGGGATTCTCCAGGTAAAAATATTGAAGTGGGTTGCCATGCCCTCTTCCAGGGGCTCTTCCCAACCCAGGGATCAAACCTGCATCTCTTTTGTCTCCTGCTTTGGGAGGCGGGTTCTTTACCATTAGCGCCACCTGGGAAGCCCACAATTCTTTTGGATATATTCCCTCAAATGGGATTACCTGCGAAAAGGAGTTTTGAGACTTCAGTTCAAATTCTAGCAGTCCGCTGTGTTAGCTGTGTGTCATCAAGTAAGGCATTATTCTCTTAGAGCCTCAGTTTCCTAGTCTGTAAGAGGAGGGAAATATAGCCTGTTTTTCCTACTTCAAATAGTTGTCAAGAGAGAATCAAATGAGATAATCTACAGGGAACATTTCAAAATTTAAACCACTGTGCACATATTAGGTCTTTTACTGAAATTATTAGCCTGACTTAAAGCAGATCCTCTCATGAGTCAGAAGTGTAGACTTCCACATGCTTTATTTCACCTTGGCCTCCAATAAACAGGGTGCGGAAAGTCAGTGATTCTTAGGCTTGTGATAGTTGGCCCAGGGTGTGACAAATTATTGTCACCTAGTCTTGAATGGTGACAACAATTTGTGTCACCCTGGGCCAACTATCACAAGTCTAAGAATTTTGAATGGGGATTCCTTGGTGGCTCAGACGGTAAAGCGTCTGCCCGCAATATGGGAGACCCGGGTTCAATCCCTGGGTCGGGAAGATCCCCTGGAGAAGGACATGGCAACCCACTCCAGGACTCTTGCCTAGAAAATTTCATGGATGGAAGAGCCTGATGGGCTACAGTCCATGGGGTCGCAAAGAGTCAGACACGACTGAGTGACTTCACTTCACTTCAGTCTTGAATGACTGGTAATTTGTTTCTAGATGTTGACTAGCTTGTCTCTGAAGACAGATTTCTGAAGAGTGAAATCCCAAGGTAGCTTTGGTTTGGGTCTCTGGTTTGACTTGCAGTGGAATTATGGCAGAGTGTCTTCAGTTCAGTTCAGTTCAGTTGCTCAGTCGTGTCCGACTCTTTGTGACCCCATGGACCGCAGCACACCAGGCCTCCCTGTCCATCACCAACTCCAAAAGTTTACCTAAACTCATGTCCATTGAGTCGGTGATGCCATCCAACCATCTCATCCTCTGTTGTCCCCTTCTCCTCCTGCTTTCACTCTTTCCCAGCATCAGGGTCTTTTCATTGAGTCAGCTCTTCGCATCAGGTGGCCAAAGTATTGGAGTTTCAGCTTCAACATCAGTCCTTCCAATGAATACTCAGGACTGATTTCCTTTAGGATGGACTGGTTGGATCTCCTTGCAGTCCAAGGGACTCTCAAGAGTCTTCTTCAACACCACAGTTCAAAAGCATCAGTTATTCAGCGCTCAGCTTTCTTTATAGTCCAACTCTCACATCCATATATGACTACTGGAACAACCATAGCCTTGACTAGACAGACCTTTGTTGGCAAAGTAATGTCTCTGCTTGGGTCTTGTCAATCTAAGTTTTCTAAAGGAAAGTCTAGGATGAGCAAATATAACACATGGACTGCACGTTATTATTTGTCCCTAGAGGAAGAGTTTATGACCATTTGTGGGACTGGGATTTGAAGAAATCTATCAATTCATTCAATAGATATTTATTTAGCATACATTGTGTGTGGGGTACTTTGCTGGACACTCTCTTTTTGGAATTTACAGGGCAATGGAGTAAAGAGACTTTTCTCCAAAGAAATGCACATACAAATATACATTTAATATTGAAACCCTTGGGTAAAGAACCCTGGAGAAGATGAAGAACTCAGTCCTGTTGCTGAAACCATGTCTGCCATGCATTTTCCACGTTTAGTTATCTCTGTCACCACTGCAGCAGGATGTAGGTTAGAGACTGCAGTAATAGCACTAATGAGGGGTAGACTTGGATGAGAACCCAGAGATCTAAATCAGCCTTCTCTTAGGTCCCATTGACTGTCCAGCTTGCACAGAGAAGCAAGGGCAGACCTGTAACTTACATCAAGGACTCCAGAATCCCCATCTTCATCATTGGAGACACTGAGAAGAGAATGCCATTTCAAACCAGACTGATTGTCTTCCCAAACAATAACTGCCTCTCCAACAGCACCTCTAAGTTATTTGAAGGAAATGAGGCAGCTGCCTCGTGGGTTGCTGAATTCAACATCTGGGGAGGTGGTCTTGGGCCAGAGTTACCTGCAGAGTCACTGGGTCTGAGAGCTGGGCATAGCTTCAGGACCCTTAGCCATTTTCTTCATGGCTCAAGCTGCTTGTGCCCCCACCATTCAGAATTCAGTGGGAGCACTAGGATTAGTCACTCCCTGAAAAACCAGTGGATCTGCATGGGGCATAGTAAGCTATTAATTAGCTGATGCTTGTAGAGCACTTTGAAGAACAAACATGTTATGTAACTGCTAATTATAATTACCGACCTCAGCCTGCCACCTTTCACAATGTCTGTGGCTCCAGCTGCAGCTGTTTCCATGGGCTTATGCAAGCTTTGATTTAAGAAGAGAAAAGGCATTCTCCCCGAGAGCTGTGATCTTTCTCTGAGGAGGCCTCTATGCCCTCAATCAAGATTGGCAGCTAAATTCAATTTCCGCAGATAAAGGGGGCGATTTACATGCTGATTAATTCATGGCACAGTGCACATGGTGGGTAGGTAGGAGACGGTTCTGGAACTGGAGGGAGAGATGCTGATTACCACGGCTCTTGCTCAGCTGCCCCTCCTTCCTTCTTTTTCCTATTTTTCACCCGTTTCTTCCTACCGCCCCCTTCTGCCTTACCTCTTTCTGTGCATTTTGTATTTACCCTCCTCAAAAATCACTTTTTCCCAATTTTTTCTACTTTTCTGCCTAACCTGTGAATCCCCTCTACCCTGGTTCCTCTGTTTCCATTCTGTTTACCCCTCTTTTTATACTTGAATATTTAATTCCAAATTGGATGGAATAATTTCTCTTCATTTTATTTGTGTTTTTCTTAGTTAAAAATAGTTTTGAAGTCCCTATTTATTTGGATTAGTAGCTTAGAAACACATATATTTAAAAATTTTATTGACGTATAGTTGATTTACAATGTTGTGTTGATTTCTGCTGTATAGCAAAGTGATTCAGTTAGAACGGTATACATTTTGAATGGAGTATGACCTCTGGCAAGGTGGTGGGACTCTTTTTTAAGGCCAGTTTAGACTGGAAACTCCAGACAGCCGAGAATTAGTCATTTATGTTGGTGTCTGGAAAAACCCCAGGTGGAAGCTTGATGTTCAGTGAGTCGGCTTACTTCAAGATCAAAGAGACTGATTCATTCTTGATAAGACTGTCCCTGGCTTTCATTCTGCACAGGTCATTTGGCTTTTTATGTTTAGAATCTGAGTTAATAATTATGAAGTTGATGCTCACTCACTGCTCTTAGAAGAGCAGCATCTCTATTGAAACGCAGACCGTTTGACTGCTGGGAGCCTCTCTGAGTCCCTCATCCGACTCAGGCACCAGAGTCCAAATGCCTCCAGGCCTCCTGTTAGCTTCTGCTCCTTCTATTTTTTATTTTATTTTTTGCTGTTGTTGATGCTGCTTTTCAGCCCAGTGAGTGCTCACTTGCAGCTCGAACATATTTCAGATAGAAGAGAAAGGTCAGCCGGAATAAATGTGCACACATGCAAATAGCCACATGCCTGGAATTTGTTTATGTACATAATGTTTAGACCATCAAGCATGATAGCTGCCATTGATCACACACCAGCTTAGACACCCACGGTTCTGCCAGGAGCCTTGATGCTTGATTTCATTGTGTCCTCAGAAAAACCTGGTGAAATAAGTATTGATATTTTCATTTCATAAGTGAGTAATCTGAGGCTCATAAAAGTGAAACAACTTTCACAGGGTCATTCAGTGACTAGTAAATGGCGGAGACAGGATTTGAACTTAGGTCTTTAAGCCTGAGATCTGTCTCCTACCAGTTTCCTAAGGTTGAACTATTTGTAGATCACTCTGACAGAGTTTGTCAGAAGAAAAGTATTCGTTATTTAATATTTCTTTAAACAACTTAGTTTTAAAACTTAAATTTGTAGTTTAAATTTATTGAC